TAGCGAGACCGTCTCAAAAAGACAAAAAAAAAAAAAAAAAAAAAAATTAAATTTGGAGCCTGGCACAGTGGCACGTACCTACAGTATCAGCAGTGCAGTGCCTGCCTGGCAAGCACGAGGTCATCAGTTCAATTCCTGATACCAAAAAAACCCGAAAAAAAAAAAAAAAAAGTAAAAATTTAGAGAAAATGGTAAGCAAAAAAAGGATAAAAGGAATTCTTTACAAAGCTAACTCTTGTCTCATGTTTTCAAATGTATTGCAAGATAATCATAACTTCTTATCTGTCCTCGTTTTGATAGAAAACACAGTAATGTAGGATGTAGTTGATGTTTTGTTGCTTTGGCAACACATCTTCCTGCCTACCTTCTGCAGCTGTTGTAGTTGTTGACTGCTAAAAGCTCATACTTGCAACCTATTTTCCAAAAAATTGACCTCAGTTAATGGGAGCCACCTCACCAGAAAATTTAGGTACTCTCCTTTCTGACTGACTGCTAAATGACTACCAAAGGCACACCCTATTATCTTAATTTGCAACAACTCAGGAGAGGATGCCCATACACCCAGCTATGGTTGGACTTTACCTACATCTTTGGTCAACCTTTTTTCTTCCTAATCCTGATTACCTCTCTCCATTTCTAGTTGTTCCAAAAGAGCACTGACATGGAACTGCCATGCATCCAAATCCCTGTCTCAGGTTCTGCCACCAGATAACTTTATCTAAGAGTATCTCAAATAAGCTTGTATGCTTTAAGAAACAACTAAGTGATTTGTAGCTTCCTGAACTACATGCTTATTTATACATGTATATTTTTATTTTTGGTTTTGGTGTGCTGGGATTAGACCCATGGCCTAGTGCATGCTAGGCCACTGCTCTACTGCTGAACTATAGCTCCAGCCCTACATGTGTATTTTTGTACACTATTGTATAATTCCCTTTCGAAGTAACTGTTCCACTCAAAGAACTAAGCAATCAAAATCCTTTCTTTTTGGACTGAAGAACATCCCCTGGTTCAATGGTTTCTATTGCTCTTGAATTTTGTGAGACATTCTATCTCTATTTGATAAATTACCTCAATTTTGCTTAAATATGTTGTAGTTAACTACTATTAATTAAAATCAAGAGTTTTAAATCATACTCATTCATCAAGATTCAACTTTTGTTGGGACAAGAAAAGGATTTTCATTATCACAGCAACATAGCAATTGGTTAGTGTCATTTTCAAGATACTTGGCAAATTTTTTGACAAAAGAGATAAAAGTTGGAAGAATGAGTAAAATTATCTTTATCACAGAAGACATGATGATAAAGAAAATTATCAACTTTATTCTTCCAACTATAATGAAGTTCTTCTGACTATAATGAAATAATTTAAGAGATGGATGTATAGAAAGTTCTAAGAAACTGATGTAAAAGACAATGAAAGAAAATACTATATTTATAGGCCCGGTGAGGTGGTGCATGCCTATAATCCCAGTACTTGGGAGACTGAGGCAGGAGGATTGCTGGGAGTTTGAGGCTAGCCTGGGGTACATAATGAGTCCAGGCTAGCCTGAATTACAAAGTGAGACCCTGTCTCAAAAAACCAAAACACATAAATAAATACACACAATGAAAATGGGAAATTAGCAGTTAATTTAAAAAGAGAAAATACTACATTTAAAAGAAAAAAGATACTGGGAATCAACAAAACACGTGTAAGAGCTATATAAAAAGTATAGAAAGATCTGGATGCTACAATCAGTGACTAATATTTTTGCTGTCTGATCTCTCCTAGCTTTCAAAAATGGAAATCATTTATTTAATTCTTATTTCTTTGCCTAAGTATGGCATTCCTCTGTTATAGCTTAACACTTTAGTTTCCTTTAAAAGGTTCTGAAAAAATTACAAACAAATTAATTTAAATGTATTTCCTGATTTATGTTCTACAACACATGTCATAATCTAAATACAAAGTGGCAATAATTTTATGTCACATGGTAAAGAGTGTTATCAAGAAATGCCTCATGATTTGCAGTCCTTTACAATAATGTTTACCTTAGCTGTATCAGCTTTCATAATAAAAATGTCTGTGTTCTCAAAGGCAAGGTAGAACTTAAACACATTCTTTAGATATAAAAAAAGTCAGTACTATTGTAATGGAAAAGAATTGAAGCATCTTTTTAACATGTATCGTTGTAGGGCTGGGGATATAGCTCAGTGGCATAAGCGCCTGGGGATTTAGCTCAGCGACAAAAGCGCCTGCCTGGCAAGCGCAAGGTTGTGAGTTTGGTTCCTGGTACCGGAGAAACCCCCCCCCCAAAAAAATGTATAGTTGTGCTTTTATTATCACAACTTTAAAAATTTGTCATAAGGTGCATTTAAATCACCTGATGATCCTTTTAATATGTGCCCTCTGATTAAGTAGATTTATAGAGTAATCTGAGGTTTTTCAATTCTAACAAACTCTTTGACCATACTTTGACTAGTAAGGAACTAGAAGCTACATGGAGATTATTGCTCCTGTCCATAATAAAATGTAAAAAGCACTGGCCTATGTGGCATCATAGTTTAGGAATACCAGAAAGATTTCTCTTGATTGCCAAATTTTTCCACTCATTTATTTGTCTCTAAACTTTCATTTTCACTGAAGGTATTGTGGCTTCTGAAGTTACCCTATGAAACATGTACCTTTAATAAGGCTAATATTCTTGGGTTTGCTTATTTAAAAGTTTTCTAAACGACAGTCAGCTGGATACCGGATACTGAGCACCAGCTATCCAAGACAAGAAATTTTACGTGTTGGAAAGAGAAGGGCATAATTCAAGGAGGGCAGTCATGCATAGATAGAATGTTATAAAAATGAGGAATAAGAAGTTGTATTACCTTACAGAACACAAAGGAGAGAATTATTTGTCTCCAGTGTGGGGCCTTCTGTCCTATGTCATAGTGCCTACTCATTGTATATCATACCAGTTCAGAGCTCCAGCTTGATGTTAGTGGACTTGAATTCAAATCTCAATTCCAGAGCCAAAGAGGTCTGCTATATTTCTCAGTAGCTACATAAATTTGGATCAATGATTTAATTTCTTTGAGCCATAGTTGCATCACCTGGCAAAAATAAATACAACAATAGGACCTAAGATTGCCATGAGGATTGATAAAGTAATGTGTAAAAGAGCTTAGTACAGTGTTAACTTTCTTGTTGCTACTGTTATTGTTATTGGTGAGAATTGCAGAGAAAGCACTGAAAAATCTGGAACTATTCTGAGGGTACTGGTCCTATGGAGGTAGAATTGGATAGGAAAGAACAATTTTGAAAAGAAAAATGAGAGAGTTTTGAGAATAGACATTACCCAGTTAAAAACTGTACTTAGCACTAAAGAAGAACAGGCCAAGGAATAAAATGTAAGATCGTTATAAAGATGCAGCTGAAGAGGTAAGACAGAGAAGAAAACCTAAATAAACATAGTAAAGGCTAAAAATACCAATCAACTCCAGCAGTTCTCAATGTATGTACTTTCCATTATTTTGTTATTCCTACTATCTAGCACATCTAGTATCTTTATAATCATCTGAACCCATGCCAAATGCAATTAAGCAGTTCTCTGTTGTCTTTATTTTGGAAATGAACAAACTA